GAAGGATTTATACTCCTTGCAAACAGCTGGTCATTTGCATCCTTTTAAAGGGTCACTGAGGCCACTTCCAACAGTTCCAAGAAGGCTCCACACATCCATTTGCACCACTCAGGTGTTCCTGAGGACACAGACAAACCTCCAAGTGGCCTCAACGACCCCCTAAAAGGATGCAAATAACCAGCTGCCTGCAAGGAGCGTAAATCCTTCCATTCCCCACCATCCGGTCAGAGCTGAAGAAGCTTCTTGGGTGAGAAGCGAAATGCCTTCAAAGAAAAACCAGAAAGTCCAGTTGTCTCTTGATAGAAAAGCCCCTTTGGGACAACCCTGAGCTGGAGGACGGAGAATCTCCATAGACATCAGATGCTGAGCTGCAGGAAGGATCGGCTAAAACCAGAACTGACCATATTCCCTGCCTCTTGCCTGACCGGCTGTCCTCCCTAACCCGACCCTGTGCCAACCTGAGCCGATTCCTCCTCCAGCCGCCTCTTTTCGTCCTCGGCGTCTATCAGCTTCTGCTTGGTCATCAGCAGTTCCTTGTTCAGCGCGTCGGCTTTTTCTTCCGCCTGGAAAGGGAAACATCGACGGCCAACGTGACCGGAGCGAGAGTTATAACCGTTTGAAGAGAAGGGAAACTTTGCTCGGCTCTTATGCAGACGTTCAACCCAAAGGCGAGCGAGAGAGGAGACCGGGAACTTTTAAGAGTCAAGCTCGGGTTTGGGGGTCCCTGCGGTCCAAGGCAAGATTTTAAGATAACACAGAGCAGCGATAGGAGGGGTGCAGTGGCCTAGAGGTGGAGCTCTCGCCTCATAATCAGGAGGCTGTGAGTTCGATTCCAGGTAGAGGCGGGTATTTCTCTCTCTGGGCACAATGAGAAGTGCTCTGCTGAATATGACTGCGCCTTGGTGACAGGAAAGGCATCCGGCCAGTGTTTACTCAATCAACTCAATCCATTTGCCTCGGCTTCACCCAGTAAAGGGATTACGGGGTCATTAAACGACAAAGAAGAGAGTGGTGATAGCGGCAGAGTCAATCCTTGGAGAGGAAAAGGAGACACCTGTCTCAGAGCGGCCAAGGTATCTCTTAGCCCACCAATTCCGGCGGGATGGCAAGACACCTCCTGTCTCCTTGCAAGTTTTCTGCCCCAAGGAACAAGCTACAACCATGTCACAACGACCTGGAATCCGAAAGCTCCAGTGTTCTGTGGGCGTTAGGAGGAAGACAAGACACTAAGCTTAATCGTAGCCAAGAGCAGAGTTAACTGTTGGAGTATCGTATGTCAGAATTATTAAAACAGGGTGATTTGTTCTGCTTGTTCAGGCCAGGGGTGCTTCTAACCCTTCCCAAGACTTCTGTGTTTGGGGAAATTTCAGCCTCTGTGGGAGGATTTATCCCTCTCCATTCTGGGTGTGCCGATAGCAAGTCCTGGCGCACTCCAAGGGCAGGGCTGGGGAATTGAAATTGGCAGTCCAGCCAAGAGAGTGCAAGGATTTAGCAGGTGGCCCCGGAAGAACCGAGCCAATTCCAAGGATTCTCCTGCAAAAATGGGTGGGAAGTGAAAATGGGTTTTCAACCATGGAGGCTTCCCCTTGGAAGTTTTCCTTCCGCACATATGTGGTGCAAGACTCGAGAGGCAGCCTGAGACCTACCTTGGGTAAGGGAGAGGAGAAAAAGGAGAAGGGGAAGAAGAGGAAGGAGGAGGAGGAAGAGAAGAAGTAGAAGTGGAGAATAGAACAACAGAATAAAAGAAAAATAAATAACTGGATAAGCCAGAGTTGGGTATTCAGCCGATTCAGACCAGTTCTGGAGAACCGGTAGTGGACATTTTGAGTCCTTTGGAGAACCGGCCAATCCCACCTCTGACTGGTCCTGCCAACCCCCATCTCTTCTCTGCCTCCCAAGTCCCAGATGATCGGCTGGGTCTTCTTGTGTTACCCTGCACAGGAGAACAGAGCTGGAAAGCAGGTTAGTGGGGTGGGGAGGGAAGGGGGATTTTGCAGGAACCTTTCCCCTGCCACGCCCACAGAACCGATGGTAAATAAAAAAAAAACTGAATCCCACCTCTGGAACAAGCACATCAGCAAGAAGAGGGCTCTCCAACGGTGGCAACTTTTGAGACTTCTTGTGGACATCTCCCAGAATTCTTTGGGAGAGGAGGAGTCCACAAGTTGCCAAGGTTTGGAGAGCCCGGAGCTAGAAGATGCCCGGGAAAATTTCGCTTCTCTACGGAGCAAATGGTGCTAAAACTGTTGGTTACCCAGGAGGGGGAGAAGAAAAGTCTTACGTTGTCCAAGTCCTTCCGCAGGGCGATCTTGCTGGTCACCAGCTCGTGGGCCAAGTCGTCGTTCTCCTGCTCCAGCCTCATGTTGGCTTCTTGCAAGCGTCGGTTTTCTCTCTGCAAGGACGCCAAAAGGAGCAGGCGTGAACCCCGAACCCAACGCCCCCCACATTCTTCTAGATAACAGTAAAATTGAATTAAATTAAGATTCCGACCCAAGTTAAGACGTAACCAAGCCAGGAGTCCCTCCCAGTTTGGTTTAGTTTACTTTATTGTCATTGCACCTTGTACAATGAAATCAAACACCGTCTTCGGTGCCCATCACGACCATGAAAATAAACACAAACACACACAGCCTTTATACTCCACGCGTTGAACGAAAACCCCCAACGCCACACCAACACTGCACTCTACAGTAGAATTCAACACAGCTCCTGCCCTGGGATAGAAGCTGATTTTCAGCCAATTTGTCCTTGGTTTTACTATTATCCTGTACCGCCTGCCAGATGGTAATAGTTCAAAAAAAAAGGGTGCCCAGGATGAGATGGATTTTTGAGAATGTTTTGAATTTTCTTAAGGCAGCGGGAACTATAAAGCTCTTCCAAAGAGGGGAGAGGGCAACCCAGGATCTTCTGTTGGTTTGTCCCTGCTTTTATGACAAAAGGAGAGAAATGAAAATAAGTATAAAGCAACTGAAAAGAGCCCTGGCAACTCCAGGAGTGTGTGAAGGGAGACCAAACGTGCGGAAATGGCCGTGGGGGGTTCAGGTTTTAGAGGCCCAACTCATGTTCGCACAGGAGGAGGAGAAAAAAAAAAGTAAGGTCAGAAAGATAAGAGAAGTACTAACCAGGGAAGTGCCGAATGATTCATGGTCAGAATCTTGACCTTTTTATGTGTTGCCAAGAAATTGGTTTATGTCACGAGGGGGATTAAGTCTGGGAGTGGTGCGGTGTTCTAGAGGTGGAGCTCACAATCAGGAGGCTGTGAGTTCGATCCTAGGTAGAGGGTCCCAAGAGCCTCGGTGGCGCAGTGGCCAGAGTGCGGTACTGCAGGCTACTTCTGCTGACTGCCGGCTGCCTGCCAATTTGGCAGTTCGAATATCACTGGCTCAAGGTTGATTCAGCCTCCCGTCCTTCCGAGGCGGGTCAAATGAGGACCCGGATTGTTGGGGGCAAGAGGCTGGCTCTGTAAACCTCTTAGAGAAGTCTATAAAGCACTGTGAAGCGGTATATAAGTCTAAGTGCTATTGCTATTCCTTCCTTCCTTCCTTCCTTCCTTCCTTCTTTCATCCCTCCCTCCTTCGTTCCACCCTTTCATGTTTCCTTCCATCCATCCATATTTCTCCTTCCTTCCTTCCTTCATCCTTCCCTCCTTC